CATGGCATCCCTAGGACTATCTCATGGCTCTTCAGATCTGCCACTTGAAAGGTTGCTGTTTCCCTATGGCTGTCAATGTCCATGGGTACTGTCGCCGTATGGGTTATAGGACCCATAGTGCTTGGTTTTCCATCCGCTAAGTAGACTTGTCTTGCTTTCTTCGCTTGTTTGGTATGGAGGCCGTATTTGTCGCATATTTCTTTGTCGATGAAGTCTTCAGTGGCCCCGGAGTCGAGCATTGCATATATTGTTGTTTCTTCGCTTTCTCTGTTGTATATCTTCGTTTTGATCATCACATGATCTCCATCCTCTTCTCCTCTTTGCGTGTGTAGTGCCATATAGTAGTTCGCTAATTTGATGGGTTTTCCAAGTCCACATCTTGGGTCTCCCAGACCACCGTTTACTGGGAACCCTCGTCATTTTCCGCCGGTGAATCCTCTACTATCATTTCGCGGATGTTGCTTCTTCTCTGATTTTGGAAACGATTATTTCCAGCAGCTCTATTTCCCTGGTATCCGTTGTCCGGCTGGCTTCTGCATTCTCGTATCCGATGCCCTGCTTTTCCACACCTTAGGCATAGTTTCCCATTCATCCTTCTGGTGTATTCTTCCTTAGACAGATTCAGAGCAGGCCCTGCTCTTGACTTGTCTAATTCTATTGGTTCGCCTGGTGGTAATGCTCAACTTTCTCCTCGAGGTACTTGCTGTTTGAAGGTCCCGTCCACATTCCTGGATGATTGGACCACTCTATGTGCTATAGTTTTTTCCGAGTTGCTCCGAACCATGTTTAATTTGCTTTCTTTATCGATTGCCCATCTTGCAAATCGTTCGGCTGTCGTATAGCGCAGGTCAGAGATTCTCCACGCCTCTCGGAGTCTCTCACTGCAGTTTCTCAGGAGGATGATGTAGAGAGTCGCATCATCAAACTCGGCCTCGTATTCCAACAGTCGATATTCGTTCCAATATGCTGAGAATGTTTGTTTTCCTTGCTGGAGTTTTTCTAGCTTTCGTCTTGCTGTTTCTTTAGCGTTGGGATCTCCAAATTGTTCAAAGAGTGTCGCCTTGAACTCTTCGTATATGACCCATTCCCTCTGCTTCCTTCTATCTTGGAAGGGCATGATCCATTGTCCTGCGAGTCCTCTGAGTAGAGATTCCACATATGGAATCTTAATTTCATCATGGTGATCTCCATATCCCTTAACGGCAAAATATCCCTCACATTGTGCTAAGAATATTCGTAGCTTATCTTCGGCTCCTTCGTATGTGTCGGGCTTCTTTGCTTTTGGTCGTTGGACATTTCCTTGCCCTTTATTTCGCATGGCTGCAAGAAATGTCTGAAACTGATTTTCAGTTATTCCAAGTATGCTGGTTCCTGGTGCTGGAGCGGCTGGGGCCAGTGGCCCAGGTACTGTGGATCCCGACATTCTCTCGGGTCGTGGAGTTCCAGCAGGAGAGCTATCGACTGGTGATCCTTTCTCTGGGGTCACTGGGCTTGCTGCTCTCGAGGGTTCTGCTGAGACGTGATCTAGGGCGTCGCTGAATCCTCCTAGATTAAGATTTTGATCGTCGATGTCAATATCTCCTTCCCTGTCTGGGTTGAAGGATGCCGTCTTGTATTGTTTGGCGTCGCACTAGGTGACGCTTTGTAATGTAATGATCCCTCTCTGGATAATTAATGCTTGACGATGGGGAACAATACTTCTCTTCCTGTCTTCTTCTTCCTTTATCTTACGATAGCTCTAGGCCTCTGCCTACGTTACCGATAATACAAGACCCTTGTCTTTTACCGGAAACACTTATCGTAAGCTTTCTCTAACTCTTCTCCGTAAAGCGCCTTCCTTGGCATAACGATAACGTTGCAATAAGGATAAATATCGTAAAGGTGTTTTATATTCGTTAAAGTAATAAATAGGAAAAGTACTTAGAACAAAGCGTGAAGAACCTATCTTCCTCGGCCGGATCGGCCTCCTTATATAGTGTTCTTTCCGCCTTTAGTCATGTGACCTAAAGTGGTTACATGTGCGAAACCAAATCATAACAAACTAATCATATAACCAAAGTGATCACATGCTCAAAACCCATGACCTCATAGTGAGGTCGTGTGCAAAACTCATAAACTAATCATAATGCAATAAACAAGTCATATGACTTGACTGAGTCATATGCACGAAACCCATGACCTCATAATGAGGTCATGTGCAAAACATAAATCATATGCACAAGGCTTACCCGTAAGGCACACTCGCAAGGCATACTCGTCAGGCGCATGTCCCATGACTCATACTTGAGCCATGTGCGAAAGCATCACAAATCCTACACATAACAAATCATATAACCCGAATAGGTCATATGCGCGAAACAATAATATACCTGTGACTCATAACTATGCGTCACATGAAAACCCTTTCCTCGTTAAGCCATGTTCATGACAGCTACTCGCACAGTATTGATTAAGGAGGGGTTTCATCGACGACTAGCAATGAGAAAGCCTCCTATTACGGAACGGAATCGGGCGATAAGGTTATAGTGGGCTTTGGACCATGTAACTTGGACGATGGAACAGTGGTATGAGATTTTGTGGACGGATGAAACCTGGATAACAGGTGGAAGACATACGCGAACATGGGTTACGAGATGTGTTGGTGAGGAGTGGAACCCAACATGTATTGTGGAAAAACATCTTAGAAAGAAGGGGTCGATGTTTTGGGACTGTTTCCATGGGAATACATAGGGACTTGGGATCTTTTGGGAGAAGGACTGGGGGACGATAAATTTGGAAAGCTATCGTGCACACACTGTTCCTGTAATTCATGGATACATGGAATTGTGTCGTCGCGATGGTATTTCATTAAAACTCATGCAAGATGAAGCACCCGGCCATTCAGCAGCAGATACAGCTACTGATCTTCATGAACGTGGGATTCACGTTATTTACTGGCCTCCATTCTCTCCAGATTTAAACCCAATTGAACGGGTATGGCACATAATGAAAAATTATCTTCAAGATAATTTTCCAGAGATTATGAGTTATGATAGACTACGGGAGGCAGTAAAGCAAGCTTGGGATCAGGTTGGACAACATGAATTTAGGGAACTGGTAGGAAGTATGCCTGCAAGATGCCAGGCAGTTATCGATGCAAACAGGCTTTTTACACAATATTAGATATATATTGTACTTTGTTTTGAATCTCAAAATCATTGACAGGCTCTGGGTCAGGTATCTCCAAGATCTTCTTGTACCAAGACCGATCTCAACCTACTATACCCCATTTGACAACTTTACCCCCGGCTTGCTCAACCCCCCCTGCTAGCCAAATATCGAAAACTTAGGGGCTCCACCTCCGTACATCCCATAGACCACCGGTAATCGGGACAACGACAATCTATTCATGGTACTTGTAGGGTGTGATATAAAGCCAACCCCCCAATTGGCCAGATTACAATGCTCGAGTATGATACCGATAATTATTATACTAATTATGATACCAATAATTATGATACTAATAATTAATTCCCATCCATCCCTTTTATTTCCGGCGACAAGCGAATGCGAAGGTGTCTGGGCCCAGACCCTCCCCTTGCAGCACTGGTACCGGTGCACCACAATGTCGTGACACTGTGCACCTGGCAATCCTGACCCACAGTAATACTGATGAAATGCTTCAAACACGGGGTACGGTAGGGCTTCCATCCCAACCCCTAGCCCTCTGCACTAAAGGTGAGAAATATCCATATGGCGAAAAAAAGATTTTACCCTTCAACTTAGACATGGCGGAGGACCAGGGATCAACCAAGTTAAGCATGGCTAGGAAGAAGCGCCTTCCTGCTGATAAATCCCCTAGAGACACATCGTGTGTAGCACAGTACCTGGAAAGGGGTACTCGAGTACAGTACCGGTACTAGTACGAGTACGGTCTTCGGGAAGGAGTAGGTAGCACGACGGTGACACGTGATTGGCTGGATGGGGAGAGAACTAGAGTCTCACAGAGTACAAAGTGCCGCGGGAAGTGTTGCACAGCTGGGAAAGCTTGAGTATTCCCTCCTTCCAGCTCCTGTTCCGCACAAGGAATGGGGCGGGAAAAAGAAAAGAAAAAACACCCCCTCCTGCTTTCTTGCTTCTCAGCCTCAGTGGAGTTTATCGGGATAGTCTACGCTGCGTGACAAAATGATTCTTCCCCCCCTTTATTCCACTGGCCTGTCTCCCAGTGCTTGTTCATACTTGACCCTGCTGCTCCCCCTCCGCCGCCGTCTTTCTGTGAATATATCTGCGCTTTCCACCTCGAAAAACAGACTTCACGATGTTGGCCCCTCAGCACCCACAGCCTATGCAACCTATGCAACCTACGCAGCCCGTTCAGCCCATTCAGCCCATGCAACTCATGCAACCCATGCAGCCCATGCCATACCAACCTCCCCCGATGAAGCCGGGTAAGGGAAAGAAGCAGCAGCAGCAATTCCCGAAATATAAGGACGAGAAGAAAACCGGCAGTGCCAAAAGGTTTATTGGGGATACACTTGCAGGAAGGTTTGTCCGGTCTGCGGTTCAGACGGCCTCTAGCACTTGGAAACTACCTGAGTCTTTATCTCCATGGGGTGACAATAACAGGTTTGTTTGTCACGCTCCCAAGCGGTGGGTAAGGCCGGCTGGCTCACCCTTTCTTTAGTTTGACGCTGCCCAACGTGAGGTATCGTGATGCTGTACTATTTACGACGTAAGTTAGAGGGCCTCGGGGCGGGGATTGGTGATAATTGCTGATCCTGTTCGACATAGCTTTGCATTTGTCGGAGGGCCCCTGCTCGAAGCGGGAGGAGACGCTCTTGGAGGAGCAATTGGCTGTGACACCTTCGCTGCGGAGATCATAAACCCGGTAGTAGACTTCTTCGTTTACAATACTGTGGCAAAGTACGCCCTGTTTCAGATCATCGAGCAAGCAATCGACAAAGGTCACACCATCTTTACCCCTTCTCCGGGCTCTCTCTCCACAGTACTAATCTATGCCACAGGCTTGCTGGAACATATCCTCCCCGAGGAAGAAAAAATGCTTCGTACAACTAGCATGCGAACACTCCAATGCGTCGTGAAGCACAAGCTAATGGATGTTGATGCCGACCTTCGTCTGGTCAGGGTAACGCCCTCTCAAAACCCCTTATCCTGCGAAAAAGGCTGGTTCTGCCCCTACCTCTTCGCCAGTTCCCGTACACCTATAATCCCACGCTCGCAGGACTTCGCCATTGCACAATGCTTCGGCCCCTTCTTGGCAGGTGACTACCAGTTGGCACACAAACTTCTTTCCGAGTCTGCTGCGGTGCTCTCCCTTTGCAACCCCGACCCCACTGTCAACATTGGCGTCAACCGTATACTCGTAACGTTCATTGGTATCACACCATACAGAGGCGGTATGTGGTCTTCTTCCCGAAGACCTGGTGCTGCGCTTATGAATTTTCACCTACTAAATGGGTGTCCTTCTATGGTTATCCCTGTGAATAATATGGCGCCGATTGTAGCATGGAATCCTACTACGCTGGCCAGTATCAAGAATCCGGGCTTCAATCCGGAGTGGTTGCATGAACAGATATGTGAATTTTTGGACACAATTATCAGCATTAAAGACTGCGCACCGGGAATTAGAGCTAATTATGTGCCGGCGTTGGGCAGGACAGCGAGTATGGTCGTTAATGGAGCATTGGGATTGAGGAATGTGCAACCGGGGATTCTGAAAGGACTGGATCCCGAGAGAGCGGGGTGAGCCAATTTTCTCCATTTGCGATACGGTCGTGGGTTGTTACTAACATTCGGGGATAGGATTGCGTTTTTTAGGTATTAGGTTTTCGATTGCCATGCTATTGTGCCTTTTTCTTTGTTGATTGCGGAGTTTGGGGTAATAAAATTGCATGGGGTGTGGTTTAAGCTCTGGTTTTGTTAGTAGGGAAGATGTCTACATCCCTCTGTTGAAGAAGTTGTTCGTGTGGTCCATGTTGGAGGAATTGTTCTGTCGAGTGACAGCTTATGAACATAATAATTTGTCTTGAAATTACTAGGCTGGAGGGGTTCAGGCTCCAAAACCCGACCGGGCACCATTCCTGAGGGTGCAGTAGCACAGATTCGCGATTTTCAGTTATGATATGATACCACGCACTCAACAAGACTCTCTGAGGTTTGAACTAAACTCTTGGGTTGCTGCCATTGCAGCAGGATCGGAACACCGCTTACTCTTCAAAGGCTGCCCTACCATTCCTAGACCATGGCCGGAAGCCAGGTGCTTGCAGTTATGGTGTGGTATGATGGGGAACCTTTTCATTGCAGAGGCTCAGGAGGAAAATACCGGCGTAGAGTAGCTTATTCTAAGTCCAGGCGTGAATGCCTATAGTATCTATGATATTGCAGGTTTTTGTGGAATGATTGCCCTAAACGCTATCGGAGGGGCTATCACCTCCCTAGACCCAGAAAAAGCCACCAAAATTGGAAATCCTCTAGATATCGTTGAAAATGCGGTATGATATCATACCTCAAGTCCAACAGTCCCTTTGAAATTTCACGATACCCATGGGGACATCGCCCTTGCTATGGACAATGTTCTGGGACCTTTATTATTATCATCATTATTATCACCTTTCATTCTCTTATTCAAAGGCGAAGGAAAAGGGGTGTATTCAGGGCCACGGTGGAAGGGTTAGTGCCAAACGCAGCGCTCGTGGGTCAGACTTTTAACGCATCGCACAGGCACCCCCATCCCATCCTATACAGAACGTGAGGCGTGCGAGCGCATACAATACTTGCAGGTCTACCATAATCCTGAACATAGAACCTCATTATATTCCTAGATCTCTACAAGTAACGATTTTAACGAAAACCAAAGGAGGTGCAAGCCACAACGTTATTATCAGTTTGATCACTTTGGATCGCTGGCGGCTTTACCGTCGATGAGGCAGTAAACTTTTTATTTGTGTATTAATTTTGGTCTGATCAGTAGATCGGACTTCGTATGAGGATTGTTATAAATTACTGAGTGGACGCGTTCCAGCGCTGAGATTGAGGGGTGAAGAATTGTATCATATATCGAGTGGTGGGTGTGCACGAGAGGTGTTTACTGCTCTCGGTTCGTGTGGGCAGGCTGGTCGCTCTCAAGTCAATCACCGGTTTTTTCCCACATCATGGCGAGATGGCACACCCTAAATTAGGAATTGGCCAAGCGTGGTTTGATAGCGATGGAAGGAATAATAATAATAATGGAGGTAGGTTTTTTGCTCTGGGTGCACACAGATGGATGATGCCGTGATATTTTTCGGGAAGTCGTGTATTCCACCGGACAGCGAGGGGAAGAAAGTAAAAAAAAAAAAACCAAAACCAAAACACACATTGCAATGTAGAGGAGCAGATAACGTGAATAGCAAGAGCGAGTGAGAATGAGTGATGCGAGAAACATCCGAAAGCATGGGAAAAGAAAAGTATGATAATAATAATATTATAAAAAAAAATGCATTCACAACTTATATCACACAAGCCATCCCCAAACCAACCAACCAACCAGGCAATACCAGGAGGAAAAAGAGGAATTATGATACCCCATGATATTCCCAAGAACCCTCCCCCTCCCCGAAGCACAGAGCATGCACGTTCGCACGCAGGAATGGATTAGGTTCTCCGGTGGGGGAGCGGGGAGAAAGGCTAAGCATGTGGGAACTTGCTCCTGTACTCCGCGGGGTTTTACAATAAGGTCTCTCCGCTCGAGGGGGAAAGCGCACCCGCCGTTTGAATACTGGGGGGTCACCGTGAGGCGCTGCATCGAGATTATCTGCGCGGGGTGTTTATATGGTGCTCGCTCGCCTCCGGATCTGGGCATCCGAGTCCGCCTTATGTGACGGATCGTTGGATGGCTATCGTATCATACTGGCGGTCGGTCGAGCGCGAGGGGGAGCCGTTCTTGGCGTCACCGTCACTACTACGGTGAGTCCTGTGGATTATTGTTGTAGGAGGAAGGATTTTCTATTCTCAGCCTATTTGCTTTCACCCGTTCCTGTCAGGATGGGATGCCATGCAGGCATTTTGAGTGGGTGAATGGGATGTGGGGACCAGTAGATTATTGTTATGATAGTAGAGGAGGAAAATACATCTGCATTTTATGCAAACATCTAGCTAAGCTCCGATCACCAATATCAAGATCCATTCGTGTTCAGAGGGATATCGTAGTCCCAGGGGAGAAGGTATATAGCAGGCGTAGCTATGCCACACACTCTGGAAGGAATTTCGAGGGGCCGTAGGCACGTGCGTATCGTATAACGGAAAGTACCATGCAGTATAACTACCGATGGCCCCATTCCAGACATGTAGTTGTTTTCCAGGAGTTCAGTGGTCGAGTCTATTCGAGTGATTGCCTATGACCGTGCTTTCACATAGTATCACGCAAACTGGATAGTCTAATGGGAGTTGCGGTAGGCATATAGTGGAGGTGGAAGAAACGAAGGGGGCTTTGTGAGGCATTGTGTAAAAGAAAAAAGAAACCTCCATCGCCAGAATTTCGGGTTCCATCCTTTGCTGTGGTCAGGGGGTGCTTTAAGACTACCTGGTAAAACTCATACCTGTGATATTTCCTGTATGGGGATTTTGCCGTCGCTGATTGCCTTTCGTTGAATAGTGTGGCCCCATCCCTCTCCGACTTATAGGTTACCTTCTCCCCCCTCTCGCCGATTGACCGATATTGTCTTGTCGAGATATCCGGTCCCTAAGGACCGGATATGGGCGTTTGGGTAAAGCCCTCTCTTAAGATCCCTAGTCCGCTCACTGTTATTTAGTCGACTGGGGGCGGGGGGTTTCTTATGGCTTGTGTTATCACTCGGCTATCTTTTCCGACTCACTAGAAGCCAAGGTGTTGATATACTGCAGCCTACAATAATACATCTTGAATGGGGTTCGTGAATGTTAAGGAGCATGAGCAATGTGCAGCTAGTTGGAAAAAATAAATGGGTATTTCCCTTACTGTTTAATTTTTTTGGATTTTTGAACCCCCTTTACTGGGACCGCGTCGGTTCAGAAAGGTATAGTGCTCGCTCACATCTTGGTACAGTCACTCGGCAGAAGTGTTCGTGAAATACGTCTCGCTTTCCTAAGCTGCCACTTGAAAATTCCCGACTCACGAAATTGATCCTGATGTTTTTTTTCTTGACACCCTCTAGCAATAGCATCGTGCCCAAGTCAATTAATCTACATTTCGTCCTCATTTCTTCCTCTCAGGGATGGGCGGTGGATCCGGAAATATATGAAGTGAAAAAAGTGAACTCCAAAAACATCCAGAAGAGGCGTGACTGCAGGTGAGGAGGGTTCGATAATTTTCCTCTTCCTCCGCCCCCAGAACATTGCCCCGGTTTCCCAAGTTGTGGGGGCAGCATATGGGGAAATAGTTAAAAATTTCCTGGTCCGGGAATGTGAGCGTCTATCATTTTAAAATATCCTTCTCGGTCATGCCGCTCTCGTGACCCTTGACAAATACCGGTAGTACAGTTGTACAGTGAGCGGAATAGAATGGGGGTCGGCCATAATGGGATGGATAGGAAAGGTGCGGTGATAAACTTCATTCCTTGCTTGGCACTCTCTAAACCAACAGTAAAGACAGGAGCAGATATGGGGCATAGCAAAATCATCCTGATCCTTCCATGGATACCGCTTGTGTTTCTTTTCTCCCATACATGTCCCAATTTCCTTGCCTATTCTTGTGGCAGCAAAGGAGAGAGAGGTCTGGCAGTCTCTCCCTATAAAACGCAATAGCTCCAAGGCAAGATGGACCACCTAGAGAAGTCCTTGAAACGCCTCAGGTGGTTACGGCTCGCTACCGGTATCTATCTCCCTTCAACTCTGAGATCTTCTGAGTGTTCCCTTTAACCATTATTTTCGTTATTCAATTTTAATTTTCTTTGCCACTCTAGCAAGTTTATCACTCTATTTTCGCAGGTTGATCGTTGGCAACTCTCAAGCCAGAAATCCCACCATCCTCCCCACTGCCCGCGCCTCTATAGCACAATTGCAAACTCTCGGATCGCGAACACTTCCAAGCCACTGTAGTATTTAAATCCTTCTAGTTTTTCGCACCTACTTCGCCATCCTGTCAGCCCACTCTACCATACCAATCGGCTCAGCATACAGCCCAGAAGCTGCCTCCACCCAGGCCCCGATGACCCACCCGCAACAGTATATAGCCGGGAAACTGGAGATGTAAGATCCACCAGATATCAGGAGGAACGTGGGCGTATAGGAAACAACGGTAAACTCGCAGAACATATAGTGAGGAGTATGTGAATCCGAGGTGTTTGTTATTCCGAAACAGTACCAACACACCGAGCCCAGTCCCCCATTTACTACAATAATCTCCTATCTAACCCCCTCTATGAGATTTACGGTAGAAAGCTCGAGAGATTCCTGACACTGAAACATATTGGTACACACAGTCACTCAGCAGTAGCGCTCTCGAGACATGCCTCATATTAGTCATGTATCCTCCCCCAAATGTTATTGATTGGATACCAAGTGTCACACAATAAGCCACATCTCCCCGCTTTCTTCAGCTGTGCTCATAAACTCCCCCAATACTCCAACAACTTACTTTACCATTTCTACATTCTGCCTACACTCTTGACGGAATACCATGGCCCAGACTGCATATTTCAGGATCGGTGACGGCAATGCCAACTGTGGCAACATAACGGGTAGCTTCAACGTCTATAAGTCCGAAGAGGGTGGGCAGATTATGCACTGGCTCTCTCCACTCGAGCCAAACTACAGACATCAAGGCGTGCGTAACGAGCAATTTGACGGTGTGGGGGATTGGCTATTGGAAACAAGCGAGTTTCGGGGGTGGAGGGGAAGTACGGGTGGAGCTGATGGGGCTGTCTTGTTTTGCAGCGGGAATCCGGGAGTGGGCAAGACATATCTGAGGTACGTGGCGGGATTCTTTGAAAGAAGGCGAAAATTGCTGACGGTCGGAAATACTAGCTCGCTGGTTATTGACAGCCTGTGCGATCAGGCAAAGAAGCAGGATATCGTCGTTGCATGCCTCTACTGTGACTTCCTTGCTCAGCAAGAGCAGACAGTCGCCAACATGATGGGTGCTCTTTTGAAGCAGCTAGTAGGCGGAGGAGATATCCCGACGCATCTACGCGAAGCGTTCCAAGAAGGGAAGAAAGAGATTGGTGGTAGAGGGCTTCGACTTCCGGACCTGATGAAAATGTTGGGGATCACTATTGCATCGCTACCCCAAGTTTTCATCTGCATTGATGCGCTTGACGAATGCCTACCGAAGTATCTGCCGGAGCTTCTTAAGTCGCTGAGAGATATTGTTCGCGAGTCTCCTAGGACGCGAATATTCTTCACCGGTAGGCCTCATGTCAAGGAAGATCTACTCCCGTGATTCCGTTCAACACCGCCTAGACCGGAAGGCATGCCAGACCATGATATGTTCAGTGCAAAGCAGTCTCGGGACCGGGTTAGCGGTGGTTTGCCTCGGACGTTATAAAAAAAAAAACAGACCACATTCCGAGTGACGTACCATGATGCACCCCCTTCGATCAGGATAACTTTCACAAATGCAACTCACGATATCATATTATCAAACTGCCCTCGACCGCCCTATCCTGCCTTTCACTTCACTTTACCGGTCTCCGCACCTTCCCTACCTGGATTTACCCACCCCACACGTGCTGCCATAAGTGTTGGAATGATACCGTATGATACCTTACACGATTGTCAATATGCCACGCGGTGGATTGGGTAATATGCCAGAAACCGGCATTCCAGCCTATTGGGGGTATTGCTTTACCCCTTCGAGTTCCATAGAGCTCAAGCACGCAGATAAACTCCCTCTCCTTCAGGTTAGCGGTGATTTTGCGGAGGCCTGGACTTCTCAAAGTTTCCTCACTTTTCCCTTCCGTCCTCACACAATCTCTGCGAAACCCGGCCTTTCATTGAGGGGGGAGAGAAAGATTGGAAAGGTTGAGAGGATGACTAACTAATCAGGTTTTTGAAACTATCTCGGGTAATGGCACGCTCATCATATGTCTTTGGTATGATACGGTAGGAATGCCTGCATGAGCTTAATATTAATTTGGCGAGAACTCCCAAGAAGTGCAAGTATCGTATTGGTTGGGGCAGGTATTCTAGCAGGGATGGGTGAGTGCTAGGGTGCAGGGGCATTTCCATGGCGTTATCGGTGGCTGGTACTTGTAAGCTCGGGTTCGAACCAAAGTTGCCATCGAGTGATACCCGATGATCGCCTTCTCGGCGATTCCTGGCCAACTTATCACCTGTTACCACTGCCGTAGTCACCAGTGCACTCTCACAACACCACGCCCTCCCCTAAAAGCAAAAAGCGAATGAAAATGGAACAGTGAAAAAATTAGGCAAGGTTTTTTTTTTTTCTCTCACTTTTACTCTGCAGCAGCACAACAGCGATGCCCGGCCTGCATAAATTTCCGTTTATTTCCGAAGAGGAGTTTGCGGAGGGATGTGTTCGGCTGGGCGAGAGGCTGGAGAGGGGAGGAATTGGAGAGGCGGTGTTGAGTCATGAGGTATTCGCTCCGGCTCGCGTATGGTACGGTGGAGTGACTAACGATGGGAGACGGGGGGTGTTTACGGCTTAATTATGAGGCGCGAGCTAGTCGTCTGCCTCCGGGACTATGGAAATGAAGGTGAGGATAAAGATGAAAAAGTGCAAAACGGAGGTGTTATTGAAGCCGAAGACGGCGACGATGACGACGACGACGAGGTATCCGTAACTCACCCACCCCCTCCCCTCCCCCCCGCTAACCTCACCGAACTCACCTACCAGTCTCTCCACCCCCCCTCACCATCACGCTGGAAAGTAGAATACCAAATCCTCCTATCCAAGACCTACGAGCTACCAATCTTGTACTTCAACTTGTACCCCCCCTCCACATTGCAGATCCCAGCGAGCCTGCAACAGGTCTACGAAAACCTAACGTCCACCACGACCCGTGATGCTCTCAAGAGCGTAGGCGTTCAGGGCGCAATATCGCAGACGGACCACCCGGTGCTCGGGGTACCGTACTATTTTGTGCACCCGTGCAATACTGCTGCGGCGATGAGCGAGTGGCAGCGGCGCCGGGATGGGGGGGAGGACTTCGACGCAGAGAAATATTTGACCGTGTGGATTGGGGTAGTCGGGGGTGCTGTGGGGTTGTTTTTGCCAAGTGAGTGTATGACTTGATTGGTTGGTGGGTGGTGGGTGGTGGTGCGATAGATCGTGGGGTTGATGATGGTTCTCTGGACTGGCACGTATTATAATTTTTTTTTTTACAGCACGGTACGATACTCGAGTGGTTGGTGTGCGAAAAATATTCTAGGGTTCTGGAATTCCTTGTTACTCTTTGACGCATCGGACCGGGATTCCGTGGTTTTGGTGTCACCATACCGGTATTAGGGAATGGTGCCTGTTCTCGGTATCCGTACCCGTGCTGGTACTGTACTCGTACTGTACTAGTGCATGAGTTATTAACTCATCGTATTCTTATTCTTACCTGTATGAAACATTGAGCGTCGTTACTGCTGAGCCTTTCCTTCTTCTTACCCGGTTGCCCTGATGGACCCTGGGAGCATCAAGCTCGCTACTGCAGCTGGCCCAAGGTGTTGATTAGAATGGAATACCGGTAAAATAGGGTTAAGGTGTTGCAGGAGCTCTCGGGTAAAGCGCAGCTTCTCGAGCAAGCACTAGCGAGCTTAATCACGGTCATGGAGATGTGAGGAAGTACCGGTAGCGGTATCATAAGAGAGTGAATGCTTTGGTACTTGCACGATACTCGCACTGATACCAGCCCGGTGCTCGGATATGGGGGCCGGTGATGAGACGGACAGGTGGCTTAAACCATCGAAGCCTCTTGGCGTCATTCCTGCGGATTGATTTATTTTTTCCATGATACGGTAGCGGTATCGCACCCGGGGGCTGTATTTTTCAACCACGAAGTGCCGGTAGGCCTTCAAATCGCCGGTCAAAGGTAGACCTTCCGCTTACAAGTGATCACCAGCTCGAGAAAACAGGCACCAAAAATCTTTCCTCTCGTGAGGGGAGGACACCGTATACCGAGAACTTTGAATCTCCCTACTTCCCTGCTGCACTGGTATAGTAGGCGAAGGTTTTGGAAAGTCTAGGAATTCCCGCGCCTGTGTCTTCTGATAACGTTATGTGTCATTCCACACGCGTTCGCCGACTGCCGGTATTGAAGCTTGAGCCGTGTTTGCTTGTAAGTTACTCGAGTACTGTACGATACAGGTACCGGTACTGTACAAGTACTCGAGTACTGGCGCTCGAGCATCAGTGGTGGAAAGGGGGCATCTACCCCCCTCGGGGGGTTTTTTTTTTGTTAAATCGTAGAATCTATTTGCTTAAAGGTGCAAACCTCCACGATAAGAGCACAGTCTGGCTAAAGCACGGATCCTAGATACAAGGGCACCTCTGCAATAACCGCCCCACACCCCCAATTTAGTCCTTAGACATGCTGGTCAAAAACCTCCTCCACAGGCCTAGGGGAAAACAAGCCAGCCCAAGTCCCTCTGGTATGGGACCAACCACACATCCGCCCCCATGAAAGCTCCTTCTGCACAAAACAAAAAAAGCACAAAACAGGACCGGCAGGAGCCAACAAAAAAACCCACACCGTATTCTCTTGAAAAAGGAAACACAAAAGAAACCCAACAAAGGAAACCACCTTGATAAACCACATTTCCCATTTTTCAGCCGGTCCAGCCTTGGCTAGCAGCTAGGAATATAGGAGAGAACGCTGATGCATTCGCTTCGTGTGATGAAGGCAACTGACCTGGACGTACTTGTAACGTGTTCGCAAGGTGCTAATCACGTTATCGATAATAGATATGATAGTTGGCAGGTGGCCTGCTCTTCCAGAGAGGAGGCGAGAGCTGAAAACTAAAGGAGGCTTCGAGGGTGTACTGAGGAACAAAGAAGTAACCGTTCAACCAAGTATATTGAAATACTGTCTGTCGAAGTCTGCCTTTTCTATCGTAGAAACAGGCGGTCTTTAAATACACAAATCTGTTCATGTCTAGCATGAACGAAACTAATCAAAGGTATCAATCGATACACTTTGGTGAAACTCTTTAAGTATCAAAGCAATACTTAAAACAAAATATAAAACAAAACCAAGTATCAAACGATACTTAAAACAAACCAAGTATCAAAGCGATACTTAAAACAAAACATAAAACAAAACCAAGTATCAAACGATACTTAAAACAAACCAAGTATCAAAGCGATACTTAAAACAAAACATAAAACAAAATCAAGTATCAAATGATACTTAAAACTAACCAAGTATCAAAGCGATACTTAAAACAAAACATAAAACAAAACCAAGTATCAAACGATACTTAAAACAAACCAAGTATCAAAGCGATACTTAAAACAAAACATAAAACAAAACCAAGTATCAAACGATACTTAAAACAAACCAAGTATCAAAGCGATACTTAAAACAAAACATAAAACAAAACCAAGTATCAAACGATACTTAAAACAAACCAAGTATCAAAGCGATACTTAAAACAAAACATAAAACAAAACCAAGTATCAAACGATACTTAAAACAAACCAAGTATCAAAGCGATACTTAAAACAAAACATAAAACAAAACCAAAAACCGAGTACCCGTACCGGTTACATTCCCCAAAACAAAACAACCGTTTTAAATAAACAAAACCTAATAATCATCAAAGGCGGATTCCGAGAAACTCATGGCTTCAGTTTCCGCCAAAAATTCTTCATCATAGGTATCACACCAGGGACAAGAGGAAACTCTAAGGAAACACTTAGACTCAAAGAAATCTAAATCACAGTAGTCACGAATACCAGATTCGTGCTGTACATCAACCCAGGCATGATCACAATCAGGACAGTAGTCAATCCAGAGGATTTCGAAGTAGTCTTCAAGTTGGATAGCATCGCGGTTCAACAACAGTCCAACAACCTGTTGTCGCTGCCTCACATTGAGCTCCACATAGTTTGACATCGTTATGGTATTCGGATGGTGATTGGTGATTAGATAAGGTTGTCGAGGGCCTGCTCCATAGCTTGGTTTTCCTCATCGCTACTTTCGAACTCCGACTCAAAGTATGGTGCCCAAAAACCATCTCTTGCTTCGAGTTCTGCGTGCCATCGCTGAGTTTCTGGCACTGTAGGTGTCCAACACATGGTGATATAATTGATTGTTGGGGGGAGGGATTCATTTGGCATGTTGTCTTTCCACCATTTGTTCACCATATCCATAGCGTGCTCAAGTCCTTCCAGTGGTTCCCAACTGTTTTCGCTTGTTGGATATCCTTTCCATTTGACTAGGAACTGATCATTTCCATGCCAAAGGCGGTGGTCTCGGATTTCTTCAACTTCCCATTCGTCCTTCTTATCGATGATGATAGGTACAGGCCGAGAGTGGGTCCTTCCAGGAAACTTGGAGTCGTCATTTGGATGGAATCGCTTGACAGCTGAGGCGTGAAAGACTGCGGTATTGCGGCGGTACATGCGTCCATCCATCTGGACAGTGTAGTTCTCTGTATGCTCGTCAAAGGATATGACTTTGAAGGGTCCGCGCCATCGGGGTTGTAGTTTCTTGCTGCGTCCGACATTGGTAATGAACATGTTACCATGTACCATGAGCATGTCTCCTGGTGAGATGGTGACATGTTTGCGTCGTCGTTTCTGGGCAGTAGTGGTGCTTCGGAATCGAGCAGCCTTAACAGCTTGGAAGGCATCGTTCCGAATCGCTTGGTGGCGGTTTAGATGGTCATCAGAGGCAGGGATTGAGGAGTTCTTGAATAGAGTTGTAGGTAAGAGAGGATATTGGCGGCCAAAAACTGCCTTGTATGGTGACATTCCCAAGGTATCTGAAAATCCGGCGTTAATATATGCAGCGAGCTCAACAAGGGCTGGTTCCCAGTTGGTTTGTCGTTCATTGATCATATTCCTAATTCCGGTCTTAACTTCGCGAATCTTTCTTTCTGGTTGGCCATTTGTCTCATGATGTCCAGGGGCGGCCATAATGTGGTTTATTCCGAGGGAGGTCATGGTTTGCTTCCAGAATCTGGCAGTAAAGCGGGGATCAGCATCACTGACAATAGATAAGGGGTACCCATGGGGGGTAAACAGGTATCGTTGGAGGTTATTCCAGGTGTCTTTGGAGGAATCGGTAACCTTCATTGGTATGAGCCACGTGTATCCAGAGAATTGGTCCACAGCTACCAAGATGGTGTCAGATCCAGAGGATTTGTTGAATGGTCCTGCGAAATCGATGGCATATGATTCGAATATTTCACATGGTAGTTGGAGGGTCTGTGCCTTTCCTTCAGGTAGTTGTGTTCGCTCCTTGTTTGCCTGGCAGAGTTCACATTGCTTTCCGAAATCACGGAAATCTTTGCGCATCTCAGGCCAGTAAACATATTCAGAAGCATATTGAAGGTTGCGGTCCGCACTGTGGTGTCCTTTGTTGTGGATTTCAGATATGACATATTCTCTAATTGTCATTCCGTTGAACATGTGGCCTTTTGGTATGTATAGGCAATGTTCACCGTAACGGGTGCTGGTAAAAACCATTCCGTTGGATATGTTGTAGGTGGCGAGGTCTCCGTGCCTGGAGCTATCCATGGCTTTGAAGTAAATCGGGTCATGGCGATATCCTGCTATCATTTGGCTTCGGAATGAGGAGGTTAATTCTTCTGTGGTTGATCTAACATCTCGTTCATCCTCGATTAGGGACCCTCTTGTTGGTTCGATAGGGGCTTCCTCTTCCTCAAAGGTTTCGTAGAGTTGACGCCGATGCTCGGGAATAGTAGGGAGTATGACCGAGACAATGGTTTCATTGTTGTATACTCGTAAGGGTCCACCATATAGTGGTCGTGAATCGATTATGGGAGGAGAGGATGGCGGGGCTGACTGTGGGGGTTGTAAATAGGACATAGCATCCACGTAGGCTGCTGCTTGTTCGAGTTCTTCAAGACCTTGGTATCGTGTTGGAACAGGATTAAGGGTATGAGGAGGTTGGGTCGATTCATCTTCATTGATCATCTCTTCTGCTCCTTCTATGGTATCGAAGCTGGTGTCTTTGGAATCGTCAGCAGGCATATAGTATGGTCGCTGGTATCTGTTGCCGAACTTGATCTCAGTTTGGTGAAAGGGGCAGGTGTCATGATAACAGTGGGACCAGTGGAGTCTGCTTTGCTCAAGTTCATGAGGAGGT